TTTCAGGTTTTCTGCAATTCGCCAGCCACTTCTGGTCAACGTGCAAGGTCTGAAACTCTTATATGCAGCACATATTGTGACGAGTCGACTGCAGAAGCCGATAACAAAACTGTAAGTTTTTAATTTTCTTTCGTTTTTCATATTAAATTGTAGCTGGCGAACTGTATTATCGTCGATACTTTAACTATGCAAAAGGATTTTTTTTATCCGTAAATGCAATTAAGAGAAACGAGTCTTTAACTAATTAATGATAGAACACTCCAGCATCCCCTTAAATCTTCATTGTGTTGTCATGAGAAAATTCATAATGGCGAGAACCCTGATCAATGCGAATCTTGTGAAGGATGTAGTAGGAAAAGGAGATGATTTCAGGCCACAGCACGTAATCAATTGCCACAAGGAGCAAAATAATTGTTACACTGATGAAAGAATATTTTGTATAAAGTTTTATCCCAAAAGAGCCACATCGTTTCAAGATATCGAACAAAATGTGATTTTTTATTTGTATTTTTTTTCTGTTAAATCTAAACGAATCTTTACAAAAAATCATGGGTATATATAAAAGGTATCAAAAAGATTAAAGTAAGAATTTTTTGTCATTCTTGACTCAAAATTCTGTTTTTAAAAAATTCAAGAATTTTTAAAATTGCATTTTTTATATGATCTGAATGTTTTACCACTTTTAAAATAATTCAGCAGCTAAATCTTATCATAAATCATGATTTTTTCAGATTTTTATATTTGGTGGGAAATACCAAAAAAAATTAAAATCATTTTTTTACCTAAAATATATTAGTTATATTTTTTAAATTATTCTTAAATATAATTTTACTTACCTTCGATCCTACTTCTGCAGACAATAGTTTAAAACTTTAATATCATAGAGTCCGCGTAGTTATAAACAACGAGAATTCCATTTTTTCTCCTTCAGAAAAATTAATTTAACTAATTGCGGCATTTGTTTAATTTTTTTTAAGCAAAGACCAATTTCTAAGTTTGTTAAGCACATAAACATGATAAACTTGTCTTACTCTACTAATATAATGTCAAGAGACTTCAGGTTTTTGATCTACAAGCTATTTAATCCAAAATTCGTTTTATATGTACACATTACAAAATTAATTTTATATTTTCTATTAACTAACTTTCTAAAATTATACAAAAAAATACCATTTTTAAGAAATCAAAGAACGAGCGCGATGCTCGGTCTCAGAGACGACACTAGTTTGAAATTGTTAAAAATTTTTGACCTGTGTCTTTCGCTATGTTTAAAAGTATTCTATTACTAATATTATAAGGTACTATAATTCATAACTCTATTATATTCATAACTCTATATTATTTATATATTATGAATAATAATACCTTATAATATTAGTAACAGAAACATCAATCGGAAAACCTGTGCTACATAGAATACACGCTAAATAAAACGCTAAATAAATGCAGTTGGAAAAGCTGGTATCCAATTGTCGCGCGCTACGACAAAACAGCAATAAAGTATCAGGAGTAGAAATGATATCAGATGTGAATACCGATACATTTTTCTATGTTTTTGGCTTGAAATCGAAATGTATCGGTATTCACATCTGATATCATTTCTACTCCTGATACTTTATTGCTGTTTTGTCGTAGCGCACGACAATTGGATACCAACTTTTCCATCTGCATTTATTTAGCGTGTATTCTATGTAGCACAGGTTTCCCGATTGATGTTTCTGTTACTAATTCAAGCCAAAAACATCGACCTTTCTATATTGTCGTACGTTCGCATTGAACTGTCGAACGAAAATATTCGTGACAGCTAATGTAAGTTAACTAAAAGTCGCGTTACGATACCTTTTTGTCAGCGACGTCAGGCATACTGCATAAGGTAAATGAATATACAGTAATCCCCTTCAATTATCACCTGCGCAAATTGACTGGAACCGTCCCCGTGACATTTGAGGTAGTCTGCTTTATTTATTTTCTTGAAGGTCTTGCAATTGAGTTAAAGTTATTTAAACAAGAGTGTGTTAAGGGGATCCTAAAGCAGGTCTGTATTACCGACAAAATCGTATAATTTTTGTATCGTAAATACTTTTTTTGTCATTCACAGATTCCAAAATCCTTTTACAGAATTAAAGTATACGCATTAATACGTTTCTGTGAGGTAGAATCTATGCTGAAAACGATAAAAAATTTCAAAATTGAGTTCTTCTTTATCATTTTTTAGTCCAATATGACGCTTCAGAGCTGTCACGTCGTTGCACGTCGAAACAACATTTGTTTTATATAAAAGCTGCGCAATCTGTACTTAAGAAATAGTAGTCCACAGATACGTAGTTTGCATGAAGAAACAGCGTGGAGTTCTTAGAATTAGACTTAGACACTTTATCGCGACGAATTTACGATACGAAAATTGACAGATAATGCGACTGCATGCATCACTGTCTGCGTGAGATATTATAGTGTGGTAGTATATAAAAGATATGTCGATGTGTTCTAAAACAGCGACATCTGGCGATTTTGTTAGAGTTCGAGCTTTGCTTAAGGATCCCCTTAACAATATTTTACCATTTAAGGAGATGCTGGAGTTATCGACGGAACACTCACTTTGTATTTCTCGTGCCATTTCGTTTTCCTTATGCAGAATAAAAAATCCTTTTCCAGAATAAAAGGGAAAACACAAACAAATTTAGAAAAGTCCAAACCGGTATGAGAATCCCCCAAAAAGTACCACGTAGTTTCTTTCTTCACATATATATAAATGAATGCAAGCATATATTCAAACAAAAAAGACTTTCCCAAATTTGACTAATTTATAAGATTATCGTGAGACCTTCAAATTATGATTTTAAAGCTTACAAAAGAAATGACACGAGAAATACGATTTGAGTGTACATAACCTCACATTCAAGCGATATGTAGGATATAGCGGAACAAGAAATGTGCGTTACTTAATGTATGTAAATATTTTCTTGATGTATGTAATATTTTAATTGGAATTAAAAATCTGTTTTATCGATATATCGATTAAGGCGACGAAGAGACAGCCGAACTAAATTGATGTCGATAAAACAGATTTTTAATTCCAATTAAAATATTACATACATCAAGAAAATATTTGCATACATTAAGTAAAACATTACGTACATTAAATAAGCCATTAAGTAAAACGTTACGTACATTTCTTGTTCTGCTCTATCTTATATATCGCTTGAATATGAGGTTATGTATACTCAAATCGTATTTATCGTGCTATTTCTTTTGTAAGCTTCAAAATCATAATTTGAATCATGATAATCTTATAAATTAGTCAAATCCGGAATTAAGTCTTTTTTGTTTGGATATATGCTTGCATTCATTTATATATATGTGAAGAAAGAATCTCTGTGGTACTTTTTGGGGGATTCTCATACCGGTTTGGACTTTTCCGGATTTATTTGTGTTTTCCCTTTTCTTCTGGAAAAGAATTTTTTATTCTGTATAAGGAAAACGAAATGGCACGAGAAATACGAAATGAGTGTTCCGTCGTTAACTCCAGCATCACCTTAAGGAGATCCTAAAGCCTCCTGTATTACCGACTAAATCGTGTAATTTTTGTATAGTAAATATTTTTTTTGTCATTCACATTCGAAAATCCTTTTACAGAATTAAAGTATACGTATTAATATGATACGTGCCTGTGAGGTAGAATCTATGCTGAAAACGATAAAAAATTTCAAAATTGAGTTTTTCTTTACCATTTTTTAGTCCAATATGGCGCTCCAGAGTTGTCACGTCGTTGCACGTCGTAACAACATTTGTTTTATATAAAAACTGCGCAATCTGTACTTAAGAAATAGTAGTCCACATGCATGTAGTTTGCATGAAGAGACAGTATGGAGTTCTTAAAATTAGATTTAGATGTCTAATTAAAACATAATTACGATACAAAAATCTACGTATATGTGTGGTGTGCGTGAGTAAAATATTAATGTAGTGATGTGTCAATGACACGTAATCGTCTGTGTGTAAGATATCTTAAGGATTCCTTAAGTTATTCAATATGGTAATAGGTGTGAATACCGACATATTTCGATTTCAAGCCAAAAACATCGAAATGTGTCGATATTCACGCCTGTTACCATTCCTATTCCTGACTTCATTGCTGTTTTGTCGTAGTGTGCGATAATTGGATACCAGCTTTTCTAACTGCATTTAGCGTGTATTCTATGTAGCACAGGTTTCCCGATCGATGTTTCTGTTACTAATATTATAAGGTATTATTATTCATAATATATGAATAATATGTTATGAATATACTATTGTGAATTATAGTATCTTATAATATTAATAACAGAATACTTTTAAACATAATGAAATACAAGGTCAAAAATTTTTAACAATTTCAAACTAGTGTAGTCCCTAAGACCGAGCGTCGCGCCGTTTCTTTGATTTCTTAAAAATAGTATTTTTTTTGTATAATTTTAGAAAGTGAGTTAATAGAAAATATAAAATTAATTTTGTAGTGTGTATACACATATAAAAACATTCACATCATATAAAAAATGCAATTTAAAAAATCCTTGAATCTTTTAAAAACAGAATTTTGAGCTAAGAATGACAAAACATTCTTACTCTAATCTTTTTCATACTCTTCATAAAGACCCATTTCATATTCTTCATAAAGACCTTCATAAAGACATGATTTTTTTGTAAAAATTGTTTGGATTTAACGAAAAAAAATACTAATGAAAAATCACATTTTGTTCGATATCTCGAAACGGTGTGACTCTTTTGGAATGAAACTTTTGCACAAAATATTCTTTTATTAGTGTGTTAATTTTGCTCCTTGTGGCAATCCATTACGTGCTGTGGCCTGAAATTACCTCCTTATCCTGCTATACCCTATTATAAATTAGGTTAGAGTAATTATTTGGTAATTCAATACCAATGATTATATTAACTGATAAAAAATAATAAATATTGCATCATTTTGCAGACGAAAAGGACACCTAAGAAATCACGTGATGATAATGCATTGTAATGATGAACGTGACAAGTCTAATAAAGACTCAGGTACCGAAAGTAAATCAGACAAATGCGAAACGTCTAATAAAGACTCAGGTATCGAAAGTAAATCAAACAAATGCGAAACGTCTAATAAGGACTCAGGTACCGAAAGTAAATCAGACAAATGCGAAACGTCTAATAAAGACTCAGGTACCGAAAGTAAATCAGACAAATGCGAAACGTCTAATGAAGACTCAGGTATCGAAAGTAAATCAGATAAATGCGAAACGTCTAATAAAGACTCAGGTACCGAAAGTAAATCAGACAAATGCGAAACGTCTAATAAAGTCTCAGGTACCGAAAGTAAATCAGACAAATGCAAAACGTCTAATAAAGACTCAGGTACCGAAAGTAAATCATACAAATGCGAAACGTGTGGTAAAGAGATTAAATATAAATCGGGATTTCGTGTTCATGTAAAACTTCATAAAGGCGAAAGACCTTATCTTTGTGAGTATTGTGGACAATTGTTTAGGTGAGTGTAAGTGAATAACACACACACACACACACACGCACGCATGCACGCGCACACACACACACACACAAGTTAGGAAAATATTTTGGTACTTCAATCTCAATATTTAAACTAACTAGTAAAAAATATTAAATATTGCAACGGTCGTTTTGCAGTGTAAAAGGAAATCTAAGAAAGCACATGGTGGCAGTGCATTACAATGATGAACGTTTCAAGTCTAATAAAGACCTATATACTGAATCATATAAATGCGGGACGTGTGGAAAAGAGTTTAAAGATAAATGGGACACGCGTGTTCATGAGAGAATTCATAAAGGCGAAAGACCTTATAAATGCGAATTTTGTGTAAAATCCTTTAGGTAGGTATTTAAGTAAACAACAAGAGTTAAGAAAATACTTTGGTAATTCAATATCAATGATTAAATTAACTAATTAAAAAATAATAAATGTTGCAACGGTCATTTTGCAGGCAAAAAGAAGGCCTAAGGCGCCACGTGGTGGCAAAGCATTGTAATGACGAACGTTACAAGTCTAATAAGGATCTATATGTTGGAGGCGTATCATATGAATGCGGAACGTGTAATAAAGAATTTAAGACTAAATGGGATATGCGTCATCATGATGAAAAAATGCATAAAGGCAAACAAAAAAGGCAAAAAAAAATAAGTGTATTGTTAGCAGAAGCCGCTAAATCTTAAAGGATTTTATTCTTATATATGGTCTCAAGAGAAAAATATTCTAAGCATAATATTCTTACAGTTAGAGTACATTCGTTTTACATCTACAGTAAAAATTTTATTTCATGAACGATAAGGTTCACAAACGTTAGCTATAGAGAACGACATGGCGATAACTCGCAAATTCTCTGACATCTTTGAAGATATTATCTTTACTGCTATAGATGTGACTTAAACGGTATATGCATCATATCGATAACAAGCAATGTAAATGCGTGATAAATGGTACTTACGTTCAAATGTGGGCTAGTACTTCTCTAAGCTGATCGTTTGTAAGAATTCTTGAACTTCACTCATCATGAAACAACTCAAACTATAAATGCTGTAATACAATATGATGTAACACGATGTATATACTATAATACGCGCTAAACGGTCAAAAGGCAGCTACACACATTGCTTTTCATGTTACTCGTAAGAGGGCATTCCGCTTTAAGTTAACATATTCCTTTCAATGCAAGAGAAAAACTGTTAGAATAATCTCCAATACATTTTTGACGAATAGTCCAGCATTAGAAGAGGAATACTCTTTCTGTAAAAGTTTCTGCTTAGAATATGAGGTTACCGGAAATTTCACTTTACAATTAGATTTTTTTGGATGTAGCTGTGTGAGATTTGTGGAAATATACAGGGTACTTTATTGAATAACAAGATTCAAAGGAATTATTTGATAATTCGTCCTATATATTTAAATTAAGTTGTAACAAATGGTGAATTTTGCTACGATAACTTTATAGACACCTTTCATTTCTAATGGCACAAAAAATGCGGATTCATTTAATTTATTAATATTTTATTTATATATTTTAATTAATTTATTAATGTACCAATTTAAAAAATGTGAAAATTCCCATACTAAATGGTAACTGGGTTAGATTCGGAGCACAGAAATAAAAGACAAATCCTTGCGAGGCATGTGCTTTAAAATTATCGTATTTCTAATTCTTTCTTACTTGATCATCTTTGTTTTTACGTTTTCTATAGATTAAGTATAAATATGCTAACTTTTCGTTTATGTATTCTCAACAGAAACAGTTCTGTAAACATGGCATCAGAATTCCGTATCTCTCTGTTTCGATCTAAGAAATTTAAAGAGAATCAGAATTTTATGTATACAAACGAATTTTATAGGTCATTCATAAAAAAATTATTTAACTCATTATTATATTCCTATTTGTTTTCACATTTCTGCTACATATAATAATAGTATATTTTAATAATACTATAGATATGTATTTGTAATATACAATACGTTTATATAGGGTGTTTGGAATTTAAATGACAAAACGTCTGAATTGTGTAGAGAACATAGATATATACATATATATATATATATATATATACATATATATATATATATAGAGTCTGACTTTTGCTTCATAAATCCCCGTGCCAAGATAATTATCTAAGATTATCTAAAAATTCCTCCCTCGCGCATGCGAACGTCGCCAATGTTAATGGAGGGGATGACCAATCCGCCTAAAGAAATTGATTGGGCATCGCGAGGGAGGAAAATTTGTTCCCTTTCCCCACTTATCTTGACATAGAGAAAGTTAGATAAAGCTCTATCTATATGTCTATGGTAGAAAATCGATGAATTAAGAAAAAAAGTTCTATAAAAATATATAATAGTCGGTGTTGCTGCGTTTTGGTGAAAATCATAAAAAAGACGAAAACGATTTTCATTTCGTTCATAGATGTAAAGGAGTATATTTTATCTTGGATATTCTGATAATCTGTTCTGATGCCACAGGATTTCTTTGTATAGAGATTTCTAATGCAGAAAGCATATTTGATGTCAACCAAACTACGAGAACATTTAAAATATCGAATTAAAACTGCTTATTACAGTAATAAATCGATACAACTTACAATAATTTCATTAATACTAACAATAAAAACCTGAAATCATAACATAATAGTAATATAACATAAAGGCATGTAACAGAGTAGTTGCCGGAGTTACCTTATATCAATTATATATTGAGTTGGGGAAAAAGTCGTATATCACATATACATGTATAAAAGGAACCTTCTGCAAACCACCATTCGTTGCGAAATTTTCGTTGCAATTGTATCATTTTTGATAGAGCAAAATTTCAGCTTTATACATAGTACATTGTACGTAATGTTACTTAACACGTAATGTTTTATTTAACATATGTAATGTTTTACTTAATGTACATAATGTTTTACTTTAAAATTAAAAATTTATTTTATCGACATCGATCAAACTCGGCCGTCACTTCAATATCTTTTTATTTAAACATAATATTTAAACAAAATGATGAATCTTCGTAGCGGCATATTTATTAAACTAATTTGAAAAAAAGATGTACAATATAAATGAGAAAAAATATTTTAGCTGTATTTTAACAATATAATAGTGTTCATAAAAATGCAAAGTTACTTATAAATTATAATATAGAAATATTGTAATATGCAGTACTACACACAATATTTAATATAATTACAGTGGGTTGCCAAAATATTAGGGACAGTGCGATTTTTCTATTAATTTTGATTTTGCAAGTGCCTCTTAATGAAATTCCGTGAAGTATTTTTATTTTTAATGCCTGTTCAGGTTATTCTATCTTATTTGTAAGTTCTATGTAAAGCCTGGCAATATTGACATAAAAATAACAGAAAAATTGCACTGTCCCTAATATTTTGGTAACCCACTGTAAATTAAAAATTTTAAAGTCAAACAGCTTTTGGGATGCGTATAAACAGATCTATCGAAAATATTCATTGAGTATTTCAAAATAATCAGATAACATGTTCTTCAGTCGAAGATTTGTTTCTTTAATCATGTCGAAACATGATGTATCACATTATCTAATTGATACACATAGCGTTAACGATCAGTATCATGAATCGATGTCACGTTTTTTTCAACATTAAACTTAATTTCTTACACATGTTTTTGTCATATAAATTTGTAATCCGACGTAATTTTAACTAGCATTATATCCTTGCTTTAACAATTATAAAAAATGATATCAATTTTATTTTATATACGGGCACAATTTTGTAATTTCCTTTTTTTCCTGTATCTTTTTTGTCTTTTCCAGCATATAACTATTTTACATAATTAATTTTTTGCACAAACTTACTTGATTTGGAATGCAACAATAGGATCGAGTCAATACATCGCTCATATCTACCTGACGACCTCTTCGAATCACATCTGGGTGCTTTTTCATCATCAGCCAACCGACATAAGAGAAAAAGAACCCTCGGTTACTATTACATGGATCCGCATCCGGATCCGTATACTTGTGGTGTACCCGATGATTTCGCACCCATTCGTGAATGTTGTTCTGAAAGGATTTAATTAAAAAAAATTCTTCTATCTGCATAAAAAAAATAAAATTATAAATGTTGGTCTACCATGCCAGCCGAAGTACAGAAAACAGCAAATATAGCTCTAATAAGCTGCTATTTTGCCTCATAAGTTTGGTGAGTCCACAAACGGTGAGCACCGGCAGTGATACCAATTCCTCCTATTACAAACGTGCAATATACTTGAAACAAAAAAGATGGATATAATTAAACAACAATATAGAAACTTTAATATTATACATAATAACTTAATCCGTATTTCTTATGAGAGAATCATGTAAATAGATTTTATAAAAAATGCGGCATATTTGACAATTTATAATAACTTATAATACAATTGATATTTAAACATAACGGACTTTAAGACTAAATGAAAATTATATAATATACAAAAAGAGCATAAAGCTAATATGCCAATTCTTGATGCAAATTTAATAATTATAACATTTATTTATGACTAATACAACAATATAATATAAAATATAAATAATACAACATTTATTAGGTCATTCTTAGTATTTGAAATTATCACATTAAGAACATATTCAAAATTATATTTGAAACTGAGTTGCATTGATTTCTAAACATAATATTTGGTTAAATTATACTATGTTTAAAAATTAACACGATTTATTTTTGAATATAATTTAATTTATATATACTAAACAATAAGGTAATTATTCAGATTAGGGGACACCTCACCGATGACCTTGATCTTGACATATGTTGTCAAGGTCATGATTCTGAGTAATTTTGCCTTAACAACTAGGCGGCGGACTCATAATTTATGAGATATTAAGCGTTGAAGTTATTTTTAACAGTAGTGAAACCGGTAAATCTTTAGATCAGGGGACTCTCCACAATGACCTTGACCTTGACATATGTTCTCAAGGATACGACCCTGAGTAACCTCCAACAGGTTTTAGCCGTCGCTCGTCCTTCGTTAAAAAGTTATTAACAATCATAGTTTTAAAATTAACATATGATATATAATACATGTATGATATTAAGTACTATTCTACACCTTTCCCTGTTTAGAAACGTTAAACTTTCCACGCGAAGTAACTTTAACCCCCCGCCGAAATTTTTTTCAGACTTACAGTGCAAACTAACAATTTTGATGCTCATAGCATCTTAATAATATGTTGAATGACATATTAAAATCTATGAATGACAATATTAAAAATCTGTAAATAATGTAATTAACGTTGCGAAAAATATTAACTCGGCCTGGAGTCAAATCCGGATCGCTTGCTTTACGCGCAAGTCCTAGCTCAATTTAACTCGTTATAGTACTGCACTAGTTTATTAGTTTGCATTGTAAGTCTGAAAAAAATTTCGGCGCGCATTTAGAATCTACATACGTAGTATATAAATTCACTCGATAATTATATTAGAAGCATCCAAGATTCAAGTTGACCGTAGGCTTATCCTCATCGGTATTTAATTAAAAACTCTCACGGTCCAAATAAGACTTGATATTATTGAATTTTAATCAAATTACATTTGGATTTATCTTTATAAAAAGATTGTAAGAAATGATTAATGCATTGATGGTCTAAATTTTATCTTTTTATTATGTAGTTTCTTTAGAATGTCAAGGAATCAAATTAAAA